CCCTTTAAGACTTTCAAAAAGCACTTGCTTTTCTTTGTCACAGGGGCATCAGCTTCAGCACCCTCTCAAAGGTCTTGCTGCCCTATTTCCCTAGTTTCCAGCCCTCCACGCATGCACTGTGTCTGCGCTCTGGTGCGGGTGGCTGGGGCTGGGTGTTTAGCAGTCCTGGGCCTTCTCTCCCTCCCTGCTGACTCCTCTCCACCCGCCAGGGGCCGGAGGGAGGTATGCTTGGGTCCCGCCGGGCCGGGGCTTGTACCTTACCCCTTTCACCAGGCGCTGGGCTCTCGCATGAGTGGATGTAGTCTGGCTGTTGTCCTGTGTCTTCTGGTCTCTCTTTTAGGATTAGTTGTATTTGTTGTATTTTCAAAAATATATACGTTTTTGGGAGGAGATTCCCACTGTCCTCCTCATGCCACCATGTTGGCTCCGCCTTCTATTTGCCAACTTTTTTAAGTGGTGATAGCCACTACTGGTAAGACTATGGTAAAAACTGGTACACACTGTAAATCTGAATCATTCTTTTAGACTTATAATCATATGTAAGTAAGAACTATATAAATATTGAAATTAAAATAATTTGATTTCTTGAAACTTGTCCGAAAGAATAAATTAACCAAAAAAAAAATTATGGAATATTATGAGGCTTCAAAAATTATGATTAAGAGCAATTATAAATACCAAAAATGTAATGAAAGCATTAAACTTTAAAAGCAGAATATAAAATGGCTTGTGATTATATAAAAGCCACATAACACAGACTAAAAGGCAATGTACAAAATCAGGCATAATTTTTGTGTTGTTAGAATGAACAGGAAAGTTTTTCTTCATTATTTGACACATTTCCTACTGATCAGGAAATCCATTAACACTGGAAAAAAAAACACTGAAATGTACAATTTTTCCATTCCCAAAACCTACCCCCAACAATGCTCTTAAGCGCAAGGAGCGCCACACGGTGGGAGCGCTGGAGCTCCAGCTGCCCAGTTCCTCACTGGCTGGCTCCGCGGGCCTGTCTGTCAGCACAGCACCCTGCATGCTACCCTGCTGCCCTTCTAGCATGACCCCCGGTCTGCCCGGGAACCGAGCTGCCCAGCGCTCCTGCTGCGCCAGCATCACCAGCTCCTCCAGGCAAGGGTCCTTCTTCTCCCACCTCCCCAGAAAGCTCGTTTCCTGAGAAGCTGCCAAGCGTGTGCTGTCCAAGCAGGCTGTTACCCGACGCATGCAGGGCTCCCTCTCGGCTTGCTTCTGCACCCACAGGCACACGGAGGTCAGCTCCTCCCAGACAGCAGGGAGGAGGGAGGAGTCTGGACACCCGCATCCCTCTCTCCTAACGTGATAGATGCTGGTAACACGGCCCTTAGCCTTCATCTTCAAGCTTGAGGAGTCCTAAGATTTTTCCATGTATCGTCATTTATAGTAGGTTCGTGGACAGGCCCAAAGAATACATTCTCATGAAATGTTTTAATCTGGCTATGTTCAGATTAAATCTGAACATCACCACCATAAACAAAAAGCGATAAAATAACGGCCAGTACGTAAAATGCGTCAGGTAGTCTTAAGTATTGCACATACATTTCCTTTGATCCTTAAAAGAGCCCTAAAATATACAATTATCAGCTATAATCTACAGTAAGAAACCCAACTTAAAGAGATGAAGTAGCATGGCTCAGTCGGTCAGAAACAGGATTCCAGAGCATGTGCTCTGACCCCCAACACTGGGGCATGCAGATGCCCCCCACCATCACAGTGCAGTCACCCCCACACCATGGGAAGCATGGGAATTCCCCCACCATCGGGGCCTATGGAGATGCCCCAGCACTATCAGGGTGCATGGGGATCCCCACATGAAGAAGCCAACACCACCACAGTTCATGGAGATCACCCCCACAGCACTCCACACATGGAGACCCCCCCACACTGCTGGGGTGCACAGAGATGCCCTCCCCTCCGCCACACTGGGCTTTGCAGTGGGTAAGCAAAAAAGCAGGGCACAGCTCCTGCCCGTGGAGGAGACCTTGCTTGTCTTGACTCTCTCAGGGCGCCACCCTCCACCCAGCTCTCCCCGCAAGTACAGAGAATATCCCCTGAATAAACATATGCACTTAGAGGCCACTGACAACAACACAGTGGAGAAGACACTCCAGTCACGGTGAGTGTGAGCACTGGGGGCGCGAAGGCAGGCCGGGCAGCACTGGCTCAGTGGGTCGGGAGGTCCTGGCCCAGCGAGTGCTTGACCACCGCCTTACATTCTTCAAGCCATCTCTGAGTTTCCAAACTGCTTTTAGCAGCTTGTAATAAAGACCAAAGTCATGTATTTTAAGTTACCATTATTAAAATTTTTAAAGTTGGATTTACTAGTCCAGAGCCTTGATGACACTATAAAAATTTAGCAGTAAGTTATAAAATTTAGGAGGAAGCCAATAAAGATCATTTCCATCAACCCTCCCTCATTTTCCTGGAGAATCGGGGCTAGAAAGGGTGTCCCTGGTCCACAGCCACCAGCTCCTCAGCGACCCAGGACCAGACCTGAGCTTGTGCCCACCAGGCCACTGTGCCGTCCTTCGTGTCTTCTCTCACCGAACTGAAGGGGAGCAAACTGTTGAAGATTCAAAACCAAAAACCCTGTGGATAAAACTGAAAATGAAAAATCAAAAGCTCCCTCTTAGGGAGCGCCAAGACTCCAGCAGCTTCCCCAGGGGCTGGCATCTTCCAGCCACCAACTGCATCCCCCAGGGGCCATCGAGCCACCCTGGCCAGAGGATGCGGCTCACCCAGCCAGGCGGACTCCATGCCAGGGCCTCCCCTTTAATGCATCCCTCCCTGGCATCCATACAAAAACACCCTCTGGGCTGGCAGTTCCCAAAGAGCAGCCCATAATACTGCAGGTGGCTGGGTCCTGGGTAGGTGAGCCATTCTTCTGGCCTTGTTCCAGCTTCCTTTTCACCCATTTCAAGTTAGGAGCCCTGAAAATGTAGCCTCTGGCACAGCCCATGCTGCCTCGGTGTGACCTGATGAATGAACCGGGACCCGGGCCCAGGACGCTGGGGCTCCGGTTCCGCCTCTGCTGCTTCCTGGCTGCACTGGCCTGCGTGAGCCACTAACACTTTCTGGGCTCTCGCTGTAGCATCTGTACATTTGGAGAACAGGATTCCTAAGATTTCTTTGTTCTAATTGAAATACATCCTGACCCTTTAGCTAAGGCTTCAAGTGACCGTACGAGGTAGGGTCAAACATGATACACATTTCCCAGGGGGCTGCCACTTTATCTGTATCAAGATTCTTTTTTTTTTTTATAGAGAACTTTTTATTTCTTAAACAAGTCTTAACAAGTAACATGACTTAGATATGGTCAGAGTTACCGCACTTGAATGAGAATTTTGCATAAATTACAAGACAATCATGCAGATTTTAGGACAGCCTGGAAAAACTTTTATTATTAGAAAACAAAAAACAAATTCGAGGATGTCCTTTGCCTTAAAATGACTGATTTGAAATTGTCTTGATAGGGATTGCTCTATATTCTTTCTTATGTTTTCTTCCTTATATTCTTTAGTATTTCTTTACTTGAGTAATTTTCTGTGTGTAAATCATTAATATTTTTATTATACATCCTTTCTGCGCTTTCATTGTCTGTTCTTCAATTTGTCTAAGACGTTCCATTAGCTCTTCCTTTTCACGTTCTATTCTTTCCTTTTCCTTTTCTGCTATTTCTCTTTTCTTCTTTTCATTCTCTAACTGTGCCCTTTCCAACTGCTTCTGGCGTTTCTCCTCCCTAGCCTGAGCCTTCATCTGTGGTACTTCGATAGTATCAGGCTTCCTTCTCCGCATGTAGAGCTCGTGGTTTCCCATACACAAGGCCAAAATCCACTTACTGATTCTCAGACGAGGTGCATAAAAAACAAAATCAGGTGCCTTTTTGTCAATTGGCTTTATAACAAATTTTTTGTCATTAAATGAAATATTTCTGATTTCACTCCATGGAAAACCAATTTTAGGTGTTAACTTGTCATCATGCTCATAAATATTCAGACCCAAAGCATCAATGCCTAGCCACAATTCGGTTCCCTTTTTATTTTTTATTTCAAAATAGTTGACTCCATACATTTCTAGATCTTGTGCAATTTTCAGGTATTCCATCATAGAATCTTCCCTTAGCATTCCTCTATGTTCTTCATGCCAGTTTTGTATTCTTTCTTCCCACTGTTCTTTTGTTAGTTTGTGTTGTTCCAAAACACGCTGGGGTAGGAGTCTGTCATTAGCCAGGTAGCCTGCTTTATGAAGCTCCTTACTATAATCTCCATATTTGGCTTGGACAGCATAGGAAGCCAGAAGAACTGCGGTTTCTGGTGGGCAATATATCTCATCATTTAAGATAGCTTCTTTAACTTGCAGGAAGGAGAGTCTCTGAGTTATTTCTTGAATTAATTCCTCAGAAACATCTTCCGGAAAGAATTTAGCTCTAAATTTGAACTGTAAAGGATTCTCTTTTTTAACATCTTGCTGTGTCACCTTTTTATTTAGTTTAAGCCATGTTGAATAACCTTTGCTGTCCACATACTGCAGCCCAAAAAACCAGACCTCACGCAAACCAACTGTTTTCACCACCTGGTCAAAAAGTTGTTTGCCAGTTGTATTGGGCTGAATGGCAAATTCCAGTTCAGCATCCATTGTGGTTACTCTTACATTGATTGGTTTCGGCATTTTCCTTCTCTTTTTGTCACCTTCTTTAAAAATTCTTCACTTTTATGAATTCTGTTGTCACCTTCCCGGAGCGGCTTCTTCCCTCCCGGCGGGCGGGCAGCCAGGGCGCTGCACGGCGGCGGGGGAAGGGGAGGTGGCGGGGAGAACTCGCGCCGCCGGAGAGGAGAGGGGCCGCCGCCGCCGCACACGGCTCCGCAATATGTATCAATATTCTTTACTTGAGCAAATAAGCCCCAGCCTATTAATATTAACATCCCTAGTTCTGGAGGCCCAAAGTATGCTTGGCAGCCCAGAAAAAAAAGACCCCACGTTCCACAACCTCTCAGTGCCCAATGGGGGTGCTTCCGGGGACAGGAGCCTCTTGGTCAGCTTGGGCCTGGGCTTGGGCAGCTGGAGGTGGGCACCTGGGCTCAGGGCGCAGCCTGGTGGGTGTCTCCTCGCTGTGTGCTCACGTGGGGAGGGGCCGGGAGCTCGTGGGTGCCCCAAACCAGGGCCCCAACCCCACCATGGGGGCTCCTCCCTGGCGACCTAAGCACTTCCCCAGGCCCCCTCCTAACACCACTGCCCTGGGGGTCAGTTCCGACAGGAATCTGGCTGGAGGGCCACGGATGCTCAGACCACAGCAGGGGGTCGAGCCAGAGGGGCTGCAGCACCTGGTCAGGGCCTGCGAGAAGAGCCGGAACCTAAACGGATCACTAGAACGCCACCAGCTGCCTACAATCACACTTTTAGAAATAAATCTAAAAATTAGAAAACGTATAGTAGAACTCCATGCTTTTAAAAAAGGGAACAGGAGCCCTGTCAGTACGGTGAGACGGAACCCTCAGACAACAAAGACAAGAGCAATCCACGGGGGCCGGGGGGGCCCTCTGTGCACCGTGTCACAGTCAAGCGGGGGCACACGGGGCCGACTCCAGGCATAGGACGCGAGGTCCAGGGGCCGCTCTAAGGAGACCCTGGCAGAGCACAGCCGGGAAAGCCCGGGGCGGAGGCCCAGGTGCCCCTCTCCCGCGGGCTCAGGCAGAAGCCAGAGCGTGAGCCCTCCACGCACGGTGCACACCCACCCACCCTTCTGCAGGGGACCCAGGGGCAGCCCAGGGATTCGCTCCTCGGGACTCCTGTGGGACAAACTGGCGGTGGGCTTGACCTGATTCTCCTTGATATTCAGACCAACTGATCTGATGGGCCTCACTGGAGAAAAGCATGGAGTTAGATACCCAGCCTGGGATTCTTGGGCAGCATCACGAGAGAAGGGGCAAAGGGGGGGAGAGGGGGAGGGAGGGGGGGGAGAGAGAGAGAGAGAAACGGAGGGAGGAATGAATCAGTCCGTTTGTCTCACCGAAAAAGAGATTACCGGGCACGGCAAGATTTCCACGTGAAAAATAAGTTCATTTGCAAAGTTAGATCTAACCATTGCAAGGTTTGTGACCTTCCTTAAGATACATCCATCCAGTGACAACCCGCTCAGGGCCAGGCATCAAAAGGACCCAACAGTCAGTGGCCCCTGGGCCTCAGTAACCTCACCCTGCACGTCAGGGACAGGACGGCTTTCCAGTAACGCGGAGAGAAGTCACTACGGTCAAACACCAGGACGCCGTGCACTGGGTCCTCACTGGAGACATGTGTTCACGGGGCAGGCAGGGTAGGGAGTGCGGTTACTTCCCACCCGGGCCAGAGGAGGGAGTGACAGGAAGGCCTCACATGAAAGGTGACCCGAGCCCCTCGGTGGAAGGGGGTGGAGCAACAGCCTGGGCAGAGACCTACCATCCTCCAGGCCTCAAGGAGGCCACAGCGAACTCCTCACCCGGCCGCACCAGAGACGCCAGGGGGGCCCACAGCCCCGCGGGTCGCACCCATGTACCAGAGAGGGAGGTGCAGAGAGAGCCTCGACCGGCACGCTCAGGACATGGACTGCAAGGGCTGGAGGGACGATCGGGCCAAATCAGACCTCCGGGGACACACACTCAAAGTACAGGATCCCTGGGGGTAAAGCCCACCCTGCAGAAAGAGACAGAAATGAGAGGGCAGGGTTCTCAGCAGCATCGCTGGGCCCCTGACTCCAGCCGCATGGAAACCCCGCTCCTCAGGGCCCTGGGCACACGCTCCGGTCACCACGTGGTGGGGAGGGGCGGGGGCTGGGGGAGGGGAAGGTGAGGGAGGGGGCGAGGAGGGGAGGGGAGGGTGACGAGAGTGGGGAGAAGAGCTTACATATTTTAAAAAACTAAAAAGATAAAGAGCTATCGGGAGAGCATCCAGCTGCACGGTCACCCGTCCTCCCTGCCCGGGCCCACAATGCCCACATCGCCCACATTGCCAGGGCCCTGCTGAGAGTCCTCCTCTCTGTCACCCAAGCACTCGTCCCATCAGCATGGGGCACAGGGCGTCAGCAATATCCAAAGACCATCTGTGCAGATGCACCAGCAGGCCGAACGAACCCCTCCACTCCGAAACCCCCAGCTCCCAGCATCCGCCTCAGCTCCGCTGGCCGGGGAGCACACGTCCTCCGAGGAAGAGCCCGCCTTCCTCAAGAGGGGCCCAGAACAACCGCAGCACCCGGGGTGCTGCTCCTGCTCCCAACAGAGGCCGGGGCAGAATCAGGGGCACAGAAAACAGCCTTTAACTGACAAAGAAAGGCGAGCAGCTGGGACAGCACCCAGAACTCCCAGGGAGGAGCAGGCTGAGGGGGAATGATTCAGGTGTGGGCGCTGCCCAGGGAGGCTGGAGAGCAGCTGTGGCCTGAGACACAGCCAGGGGCCAGGAGCCCGCCCCAGCCTCGCCCCCAGGACAGGCCTGACGTTGGGCTCCTACCCTGTAGGGAGAAGGCTCCACAGCCTTGCAGGGGCAGGGCCTCTGGTCACAGCTCCTCCCTGCCGGCCACACTGCCCCACAGCCAAGGCGGGCTCAGCCTGGTCCTGGCATCCTGATCTGGGGTGTGGGTAAAACTGTAGTATTTCCAGAATATCTTGCCTGGCTTTCATATATACGCATATCAACAGGTGCTCAAGGGTGGAGAGAAATATGGCTTTAGTGCATTTGTGTCATTCCTCCGGGGTGGAGAGAAGTTCATCTCCATATCAGTGGGTAATTACCTGGGCAACTGAGGGCTTATCTGTACCTGAAAGGTGAGGGGGCGGGCCGGTTTTGCTTCTGCTGGAGCAGGAGAGAAGGCTCTGGACTGCAGTTTGTAGGCAATAAATGGATTTTAAACTTTATTTCTCCCTTTGACTGATTTCAGTTTTTAGAGGTATTTTGCCCCGGGATTTCCTCTCCCCAGACTTACATGGGCACAGCTTGTCTGGCAGGCGATGGCCTGACGACAGCAGGTACCCTCTCTGTATGAGTGGAGGTCTGCACCAGGCGGACACTCAGCCTGCAGGATGAATCTGCACTTTAAATCTGCACTTTATAGTTAAGGTGCAGATTTAAGTGCCAGGGTGAGGAAAAGGGGGACAGAAGCACTGTGTTTCACTGCAACCCTAATATGTTCCAGCTGGGCACCTGGCAGAACCACTGGCTGCTTCCGGAGAGTCCTCATTGCCTGTTTAAGGTGGGGGTCACACACCTGTCTGTGCACTGAGGGCATGTGTGGGGCCCCAACCAGGGAAGGGGCCTGTCTTGCCAGAGGGTTTCAGCCGCAGGCAAGTTCACTCTTGATTCGGTGAAACCAAAAAATGACAATGGAACGTCCTTGGGGTGAAAGGGTTCATACCCAACTTTACTCCCACGGTGGCAGGTCAAGCACTAGAATCCCATCCACTCACAGCACGTCTACATGCAGCAAGCTGGTCCCTGCCTCTGGGCCACTCTACCCCTGCAGCCGTCTCAGTCTCTGTCCTCGGCGCTGCCACCACTCCAATCTCGTCTCTGCTCTCCTGCAGCTGTGCAGCCCAGAGCCCTGGGAAAAGCTCTTTATACAGAGTCAATAATAACATATTGCCCACACGTGAGCAATGGGCAAGCCAACCAGGGTCAGGTGAGAATCCTGGCCAGAGAAACTTTCATTTTCTCCACACTCCACTCTTCCAAGATTCTCATCTCACAATCTATACACCCTTGATTTTCTGCAATGGTCCCTGTGCAAGAAAACTGGAACAATGTAACCAAATTACACAATAACAACAGGGGGTACAACAATATACAGATAACAAAAATTATGATACAGGTAACAGAAATTATAATAATCCTCAAGCCTGAGAGGATCCATTGCCCTCAGGTGGTCATCCCACAACAGCTGTATTCAAACCAGTTGTTCTCAGAGGAGGTCGTGACTCACTCTTCCCCTGCACACTCAGCAAGCAGCAGTGTTTGCTCGAGTGTGCGCCCAATCCACACGGACATTAGGGGGATTGATGTTAAGGGTGATAAGGCACATGTTTCAGTGAACCAGGAGAACCACAGGTGGGCTTTACAATACCCACCCTCTCCAGGCCCTGGACTTGCAGACACACAGGCCGGCCTGGGGGCTTCGTCTCCGGCTTCCACTTCTTGGCCCTCGCTTTAGCCGACTGCCAAAACTGTCGCTCTGGCCTCATTTGCTGCCACAGCTCCAGTAAGATTTTGACTTTCCACCCAACTTCCCTCTGTCGGCTCCTGCCTTTATCGAATCTGCCCACATCTGGGTCCTCATGACCTTCACGGGGCCCTTTAAACTCTTCCTCGAGAAGCAGACCTTATTTCCTTCCACACTCTCGTTGCTTCAGCCTCCCCCACGTCTGCTACTGTACAGGAAACCTCACTTATGGGCCGTCCTAAGCGAGGGGCAAGAATGGCCAGTAGGGGCCCAAAGAGGGACGAGGGAGCCATATGAAGCACATTTCTCACCCTCACAGTAAAAGGCTCCTCATCTGGGCCATAATTCTCTGGACTGTAGATGGCATTTTTCAGACCTAGCTCCCGTAACACCTGTTGGAGCTCAGCATACATCTGACATCTAGCAGGGGAGGATAGTAAATCACCCTGACTGAGCCAGACATTGCGGAGGGGCCATAATACAGTCTAGGAGGGCTTGACTTTCGGGGGTCTGATGCGCATTTTGCAGCTGCTCCCTCGGGGCAGGGTGAGTCATCAGGGAAGCCAGTTTCAC